TGGCAGGTGCCTGTAATCCCAGCTACTTGGGAGGCTGAGGCAGGAGAATCGCTTGAACCTGGGAGGTGGAGGTTGCAGTGAGCTGAGATCATGCCATTGCACTCCAGCCTGGGCAACAAGAGCAAAACTCCATCCCCCCCACACAAAAAAGAAGTACCAGTAGTGTCCCACATAGTTAGAAACTATTACAAATATGAAAGTACTGCATTTATATTGCACACATATTTATATTGCATACATGTAATATACACAATTAAGATACCTCCCAAATACTAAAGTATCAATAGAACACCTTTGCAGAAGGCAGAATTAGCTACCTATTCTTCAGCAAGCTTTGTAAGTATAGGTATATGACTCTTCTGCTGTGGTGGAAACAGCCAGCACTTATACCTCAGTAAACCTTTAACCTAAAAAGACCCTTTACCAACTCCAGCCACACTGGCTTCTTTACAGTTCCCTCCCACCTAATGGTCTTTGGTCACGGCTGGCTCCTTTGTTCTCTTTGCCTTTGTTTAAGTAGCACTCACAGTGGTTCTGCCTTGACCACACCAATTAACGCACAACACACAGCGCACACCCACCCAGTTCCCCTTGAATGGCCTTTTCTAGCACATTTTCCACCTTTTGGTACATTGTATCATTTACTTATTTATCACCTTTTTATCTTCTGCCACTTGGATGAAAACTCCAAGAGACTAGGGGTGTTGCTTAGTGTGAATCCTAAACACCTGGCACACAGTAGCGACTCCATAGATACTTGATAAATGAGTCTTATTTCTTAGAATCCCCAGTATATGTTCCTCTAGTTAGAGATATGTAACCAGGTTATGCCTTCAAATCTTTGTAGGAATGGAGGCCTAGCATGGGGAGATGAAGTGGAAAATAGAAAGGGCAAAGGGCACTTCAGGGAGAATGGAATAGCTGAGATGGAGTGCAGGGACTGGGTAGAAGTTTTTTTCTGATTTTCTTGTCAAGTATCATTCCTTGTTGGACCACCAGCCATACTTGAACTGTATCATGTGCATATAGTACCACACATAGATAATACTGGAGCCAGTATATCACCAAAGACTAGATTGAGGGTTAAAGCCTAAAGAAAAGGGGAGTGGAGTCAGAACAGGAAACAATAACTGGAAAAAGAAGTCATGTGGAATCCACCAAAGGCCGTAAGGGAACCAATTTGTCCTCTTAAATATTAAGTGCAAGCACTGAGTTTTCTCTATGAAGTGGTGGGTTTTTGTTTTTAGAGACAGGTTCTCGCTCTGTTCCCCAAGCTGGAGTGCAGTGGTGCAATCCTCGGTCTCTGCAATCTCAAATTCCTTGGCTCCAGCCGCCCTCCCACTTTGGCCTCCCAAGTAACTGGAAATTACAGGCTAGAGCCACTGTGCCCAGTTCTGTCTCTTCTTCTAAGCATACCAGTCATATTGGATTAGAGACCCACTGTACTGTAGTAGACCTCATCTTAACTAATTATATCTACAGCCACTACTAAGGTCACAGTCTAAGGTACTGGAGGTTAGGACTTCAAAACCTATTTTTTGGGGGACATATTTCAACCCATAGCAGGTAGAAATAGTTTAGAGTTGTAAATTAAGAAATTTTTTCACCGTTACAGGTAGCATGAACTTTTTATTTTTATTTCTATTTTTATTTTTTTTGAGACGGAGTCTTGCTCTGTCGCCCAGGCTGGAGTACAGTGGCCAGATCTCAGCTCACTGCAAGCTCTGCCTCCCGGGTTTACGCCATTCTCCTGCCTCAGCCTCCAGAGTAACTGGGAACTACAGGCGCCCGCCACCTCGCCCGGCTAGTTTTTTTGTATTTTTAGTAGAGACGGGGTTTCACTGTGTTAGCCAGGATGGTCTCGATCTCCTGACCTCGTGATCCACCCGTCTCGGCCTCCCAAAGTGCTGGGATTACAGGCTTGAGCCACCACGCCTGGCATGAACTTTTTATCTTAAAGCTTCTCAGTTTCACTAAAATTTTAAACTAATTTTCCATGCTACCAATATAAGAAATCAAATGCCTTACTGCCTATTAATAACATCTGTATCTAATGGTTGTCTTTTTGGAAGATGCCAACATTTATACGTGAGAGTCTTCAGTGTGGACCATGTTTTTAAAAATTACTGAAGATTCACCATCAGCCAGGTGCGGTGGCTCATGCCTGTGATCCCAGCACTTTGGGAGGCCAAGGCAGGCATATCACTTGAGCTCAGGAGTTCAAGACCAGCCTGGGCAACATGGCAAAACCCTCTTTCTACCAAAAATACAAAAATTAGCAGGGCATGGTGGCATGTGCCCCTAGTCCCACCTACTCAGGAGGCTAAGGTGGGAGGATGACTTGAATCTGGGAGGTGGAGGTTGCAGTGAGCCATGATCACACCGCTGTACTGCAACCTGCGTGACAGAGCAAGACCCTGTCTCAAAAAAAAAAAATAAATAAATAAATTCACTCATCAGGTATCAAAGTAGCAAAATACTTTAGCGTAGTTTATGCACATTTGGGCAGTTTCACACTAACATTTCATGTTTTCAATAAAAGGACTCCATGTAACTGAATATGAAGACAATTTGAAGAACTCCTGGGTATGGAAAGAGCTATATTCTGTTAGAAATATAAGACCGTCTTGCCACGGAGTACTGGGTGTATATGGAGGGATGATTTACACTGGAATCTTTTACTGGATATTGAGAGGAATGGAGCCATGGACTCTGAAACATAAAGGTAATTCAAATGAGAGTATGAGTAACATGATCATTAAAAAATCATGAATGGGATCCATTAATTTGACAAAGTGATCGTTTTAATGTTTTAAACTTGCTTGGAGAAATTATAAATTTAGTATCTAAGAACAGTATATTATTACTTGAGGGCTAGTCGTATTTCTTTCGTGTAATAACATTTTGAAGTTTTTATACAAATAGGCTTAAGAAAAAGTACTTCAAAATTACATTTTGTTAAGCATTTCCCTCAAAATTGTTGAAGGTTCTGACTTTGAACGGCTCAAGCCAGCCAAGGATTGTACACCTATTGAGTATCCAAAACCCGATGGACAGATTAGTTTTGACCTCTTGTCATCTGTGGCTCTGAGTGGTACTAATCATGAACATGACCAGCCGGCACATTTAACCTTAAGGGATGACAGTATACCTGTAAATAGAAATCTGTCGATATATGATGGGCCCGAGCAGCGATTCTGTCCTGCAGGTAATAATTTCCATCTATTCCTAAATATTTGCTTTAAACATTTTAGTAATGTGATTCTGTTCTTTTAAAAACTGATTTCTGTATCTCCTTCCATTGCTTAGAAATTGTAAATGACTTCCTCTGGCTTCCTTTAGGAAACTTATACTTTTAACTACTGGTTTTGTTAAGCCTAGTTCAGATGACATTTCTCAAAAAAAAAAAAAAAAAGCCCTTTGTGTACGCTCAGACTAAGATGAAGATTCTTGAAGATGAAATACCTCTCTTTGCATGTTCATGTGACTATTTAAAGTTATTTCTGTACGTATGGGCAGCTCATCTGTACGTATTTGGGTGCATGTGCTAGAATAACACATTATGGTTACATTCAGTCCAAAAAATGCTCTGAAACTTTAAATTCACCATGAATATTCTTTTAGTGCTGAGCTTTCAACTGAAATTACAGTAGTAGGAACGAGATCTCAAATGACATGGTAGAACAAAATAGTACTCAGATACTTGAAAACTAGTACATTCACAAAAGCAGCTATAGTGTGACTTGGTCTTTTGACTTGTGCCATTACGGTGGGTTTTAAACTCCCTGAGGTTACTAAGGACTGGATCTAATTTGGTTTTTTAGCTGTACCATCAGGCTCCTCTTACCCCCAGGCACCCATGGTCTGAAAATAAGAAAATTCCAGAAACAGGTAATTCTCGAGTCTTAAATTGTGCACGTTAAGTTTTAAATTGTGTACCATTCTGGCTTGTCCCACCCTGGATGTGAATTATCCCTTTGTCCAGCATATTCACGCATAACATTCGTTATGTCACTTGGTAGCCATCTCAGTTATCATCAGATTGACTGTCACAGTATCATGCTTCTGTCCATTAACTCTTAAAAATGTCCCCACAACGCAAGAGTAGTGATGCTGACAATTCAGAGATGCCATGAAGTGCTTCCTTTAAGTGAAAAGGAGAAAGTTCTCTATAGAGAAAAAAATCCTATGCTGAGGTTGCTAAGGTCTACATAAGACTGTATCTTCTGTGAAAGAGGAAAAAGAAATTTGTGCATTTTGCTGTTGGACCTCAAACTGTAGAAGTTATGGCCAGAGTGTGGCAAGTGCTTCCTTAAGATGGAAAAGGCATCACATTTGTGGGTGAAATACATGAAGAGAAATGTCTTCTGAATGACAGCGTTAAGTTGGGTACTACCTGAAGTTTCAGGTGTCTACTGGGGATCTTGGAACTTGTCCTCTGTGGAGAGAGGACAACTGTGAATAAGGGAGAACTTCGAGGTTGTGTGGAACTCAAACACTGAGTGTCGAGTACCCTTGATAGTGAGACAACTCAGCCGAGTACTGCTGTACCTCCTTTTATTATGTACATGTAATTTCTACTCACATCAACGGCAATGCACCAAGGTCTTCATAATACTCTATAGGTCAGCATTCAGAAAGCAACCTTTAAGGTTTCTGTGGCTACTCTTTCTTCAAATTTCTATTTTTGAATTTAAAACATTTTTAAAGTTAGGCACTTCAATATGATTTATTTTTACTTTTCAGGAGTTTATGAATTTGTACCTGTGGAACAAGGTGATGGATTTCAGTTACAGATAAATGCTCAGAACTGTGTGCACTGTAAAACATGTGATATTAAAGATCCAAGTCAGAATATTAACTGGGTGGTACCTGAAGGTGGAGGAGGACCTGCTTACAATGGAATGTAAACTGCAGCTAACCAGTTTCTTTAAAGTATGGCAAGCTAACTTTAAAATGTTTAGAGATTAACAGATGTCAAAATGTCTTTCTGCATAGTACTGAACAGAATATACACAGAATGATTATGAAATAAAAATTTTATACTATGTCTAAGATTGTCCCATAAAAAAATTATGAGTATTTCTTTTAAATAAACTTTATAAGAATGCAGCATCTTCCTACCTCTTCAGTTCTTCAGAGATTCAGTACCAAGAGCAAAATTCACTACTGGACTTTACATTTGACTTGCCAATGTTAAGTATTCAAATATAAAAATCAATATATATTCTAGACCAAAGTTTTATTGAAACACAGCCATACCCATTGGTTACACATTGTCTATGGCTGATTTTGAGTTACAACCACAGAGTTGAGTGGGTATGACAGATTACATGGTCCACAAAGCCTAAAAACTTTATGATCTGGCCCTTGCAGAAAAAGTATGCCCATCCCTGAACAAGTTTGTGTGTTTGTGTGTGTGCGTATTACCTATAAGCATGAAAACTTAGCATCATCCAACCACAGATACATCAAAGAATTGAAGGAAACAATATACAAACTAAACTGTCATCTCTTTATTCAATAAGATGTGTCTTTACAAGTTTAAAAAGACTGGACACCATTATCCTTTATGAATAATGCAGATAACCATTTTAAAAAACATTTTACTTGGTCGGGCGCAGTGGCTCACACCTGTAATCGCAGCACTTTGGGAGGCCAAGGCAGGGGCAGATCAATCACGAGGTCAGGAGTTCAAGACCAGCGTGACGTGACCAATATGGTGAAACCCTGTCTCTACTAAAAATACAAAAATTAGCTGGGTGTGGTGGCATATGCTTGTAATCCCAGCTACTTGGGAAGCTGAGGCAGGAGAATCACTTGAACCCGGGAGGCAGAGGATGCAGTGAGCTGAGATCGCGCCACTGCACTCCAGCCTGGGTGACAGAGCAAGACTCCATCTCAAAGAAACAAACAAAACCACTTTACTGACTGTATTGTGACACGTTTATTAAGCATGAACCCCTATCAGTACTCCTAAACTGTAAACAATGAGGAACTAAGGTGTCAAAAGAAACACATTAGGGATCATATTAATAGACAAAAACCTTTACATTTTCTTATTGCATTTACACAATCAACACACAATAAGCAAAACTGAATCCTTTCTAAGCAAACATTTTTGCATATACTGCCTTCTCTTTATCTTTCTGTGCCTTTATCTTTTGTTTGACTTTCAGCAGTTCTGCCTGGATAGCTGTAAAATAAATATGCAATGTGAGTTATTTCTCAAAATATCGAAAAAAATTATGGTGACTAACAAACTGTTTTAATGTTAACTACCCCTTGAAAAAACTTCTCCATAAAGTAAGCAAGCCCTAGTAACAGAAAATCTGAGCAATCTCACAAACAACAGAAATGAAACGTAATTTTAGAGGACTGTCAACTGAGAGAACTCAAGCACATCAAGACTTGCCTTCTCCCTCTACATTAGGGAAGAGTAACTGCTTCCCTTGTTTCATTTTAGTAATAAGAGACCAAAGACATTTTGTAATATCCAGATCTAGTGTCACTATTCATAGTTGGTTTATTTGAAAAACAAGCTTATTTTTATCATAGTTTCCTAAAACATATAACCAGTACTTCAGTACTAAGGTTCTGGCTACATTCAGCTTGAAGAATGGTCCCAAATGTTAAATTTACCATGAATACTGTGTCTTACGATGCTGAGCTCTCGACTAGAAGAACCAGAATAGGAACAGAGTCTCAAAGGATACCATAAGACAAACAGTATTTAGACATATAAAAAACTACGGAGATGATAACTTGAAGAATAAATAACGTGAAAAACTAGTATATTCTTGAGCGGGAGTAGAATGTAAGCTCTTTGAGGACAGGGACTTTGACTGTCTTGTTCATTGCTGTATGATAACGCCTGGCCCAACAGCAGGCATTCTGTAATATCTTTTGAACAAACATCTAAAATCTGGCAAAGTGAACAATGGTTCCTGAGGATACATTTTTAAATAACAAAACTAACTTTCACTACACAAGCTGCCAACTTACCTTTATCTTCTGGTGCTATCTCCTGTGCTTTCTTAAGATCAGCCTTTAATTGGAAAAAAACATTTAAGTTAGGTGTATGATTTATAAAGGTAGTTGTCTATTTTAAAAAATTAAACATTTGGAACAAGATTTACCAATGCTTGATCATATTCTTTTAATCCTTGCCATCCTTGAGCTCTGCGGTACAATGCTTTGGTATTTGATGGGTCTATTTCAAGAGCCTACAAAAAAGTATAAAGCTAGTATTTATATCAAAGTATTACGTATTAAGCTTATATGCCAGATTTCAATTCATTGCCTATCAACTCCAAACCCATCCTTCACTGCTCTGTGAAAATGGAGCTGAAACCTGCACATAGCTCTCCTCTGCCAGTGGGCAGTAAGTTTTGTCAGCAGAGGGCACTGAATGGACATGGGGGAGAAAGACATTTCTCTACCAGTTTCCAGTATGCTCCCCACACTGTGGTTTCAATCTCCCAAATAGGCCTGAACTAACACTTATGAGAGAAAATCATTTTGAAGAAAAATTTGTATATACTTTTTACTTGAATTATAAGTTTTTTAGGAACATTAATAACTTAATAACTCTTAAGTTATAAACTCTTAAGTTTTTTTTTTTTAAAGACAAGGTCTCACCTCTGTGACCCTGGCTGGAGTACAGTGGCCTGATCACAGCTCACTGCTGCCTCAACCTCCCAAGCTCAAGTGCTTCTCCCACCTCAGCCTCCGAGTAGCTGGGACTACAGGTATGTGCCATCACACCAGGTTAATTTTTTTTTTTTTTAAGACAGGGTTTCACCATGTTGCTCAGGCTGGTTTCAAACTCCTGGGATCAAGCAATCCACCCGCCGTGGCCTCCCTAAGTGCTGGAATTACAAGCATGAACCACCATACCCAACCTAGGTTTTTTCTTACAAAAGGTCTTTTAACCTAAGAGACTTTATGCATCAGCTCTCTCCCCTAGAACAAACATTTTAAAATTATCTTTTGTTTATGTAACATCTTTTAACGGCCCATACTTAGATTTTATTATCTGCCTCACAGGTCAAAAAGAGATCCGGGCTGGGCACAGAGGCTCTTAACTGTAATCCCAGCACTTTAGGAGGCCAAGGTGGGTGGACAGCTTGAGCCCAGGAGTTAAGAGACCAGCCTGGGCAACATGGCAAAAACCCATCCTACAAAAAATTTAAAACTCAGCGGGGTATGGTGACGAGTGCCTGTAGTCCCAGCTACTTAGGAGGCTGAGGTGGGAGGATCACCCGAGCCCAGGAGGTTGAGGCTGCAGTGAGCTTTGATTGCACCACTACACTCCAGCATGGGTGACAGAGCAAAAAAAACAAACAAAAAAGAAACCCAGAGTGAAGACCTATCTTTTCTTTTGATAAGTTTTTTCCTCTGTTGTATGCTCCCTTCTAAATATATTCCTATCCCTTATGTCATCTACCCTACCAAATTAGGATCTCACTTTAGTTCTACTTGCTCTGAGCATAGCTAGTCTAGGTACATGGCTTAATATGTAAAATTCTTAAAATGTTTCATTTGGAAAACTTTTCAAACTGTACAACAGGGAAGAGAGTCATAATTGCTCTATTTGAGGAAGGTAAAACTGCCACCTTTCTAGCTTTATCAGTTAGCATACCTGGATGGCCCTCCTAAAGATAAATGACCTGTTCCAATAGAACCCATTCTCCATACACAAGTCCTGATGAACCTAAATTGAAACTGAATCACTTATTAAGCTTCTTGAGGGTATGGATCTTTTAATTAAAATAACTCATCTCTGTTAGGTGCTTAAAATGTGCCAGGCACTACACTAAATGCCTTACATTATATTATATAACTTTCTATAACTACTCCATGGTAGCTCACACCTGTAATCCCAGCACTTTGGGAGGCTGAGGCGGGTAGATGACCTGAGATCAGGAGTTCGAGACCAGCCTGGCCAACATGGTGAAACCCTGTCTCTACTAAAAATACAAAAATTATCTGGGCATGGTGGCATGCGCCTATAATCCCAGCTACTCGGGAGGATGAGACAGGAGAATCACTTGAACCTGGGAGGCAGAGGTTGCAGTGAGCCGAGACTGCACCACTGCACTCCACCCTGGACGACAGAGCCAGACTCCATCTCAAAAAAAAAAAAAGAAGAAGAAGAAGAAGAAAAAAAGCCACACCTGACTGACTCCATAACCCACATTCTTAATCATTCCTAACTTTGTCTTCCAATGCCTAACATATAATAGGTGCTTTTAAGTAAATACATGAGCTGATATATGTGCTTCGAGAAAAAAAGGCAAGGATCTTCATGGCTGTTGAGTGACAGTTATAAGCAAAATGAATGCAGGGAAAGAATTGAGGGTCCAAAATATTTAGAAACAAAATGTTTTCTTAAGCCTCAATAGGTCCTATGCAATAAGATATATTAATATATATAAAAATTGCTACTATTCAAACTAAGTCTTAATCCAACTTACTCAAAAAGTTCAAGATTAAACAGACTTACCTCCAAACAACTGTCAATTGCTCCCTGCCAATTTGACATCTTCAGTTTACAAGCACCAATATTCAGTACACAGCTTAAAGCTATAGGTTGCAGCTTGGCTCTATCTGCTGTCTCAATAACAGCCTTTGAACTGTCCACGTATCTGTAGAACGCATTAATAAAAGCAGTATGAAAGGCCACATAAACAGGAATTACTCTTCTTCTGTATGTCCAGAAGTGTTGTCATTTCTGATATAAAAAGCTCTAAAAATGCTATCAATAATCTTAATGATCACACTTTTTAAAATTTTTCTTAAGAAGGCTTAAAAAAAAATTATTTTTGTTCCAACTTTTTTCCCCAAAGTGTTCAAAGAGGCCAATGTAAGACCAATTCCCAAATCTAATTATGCACTAGTAACACTTTTCTATTTTTGAAACTCAGGTCTCCACTATGTACTTTCCAACATAATTATGTTTGGAATCAGGATTCACATAATAGGAGAAGGGAATTCAATAGAGGAAAGATGAAGGAGAACTCTATTGCGTTGATTTTGCATTGTCCCTG